GAGCCATTTCAACTGAAATATGCACAATATGCATCGGGGGTTCCTTGATAACTCCTCCAATAACAGGTATGTGATAGTCCATGCCATTCTTGTTGTCAAAAATTCCACCATCCTCTTTCTCAGAGAATACAAAGTCCATCATATATGCATCTAAAGGAACCTTAACTATGGGAAAGAAAAAGGCATAAGAATATTATTTTGGATGTATTCTTATTCAAGGTTTACTTGCAAATGAATAAAAGATACATCCAGCATGTATATAGTCTTAAGAGTGCTGAGAAAATGGAATCCATATTCACGCAATGTATCATGAATACAGGTGGCTGCAGATATGCATCACTTATTGTTAATCTTCCTACTAAGCCATGAATTGGTTCTACCAAACTGTGCATGTAAAATTTACAGGATGCTACTTTTTTTATTTGTCATGGTTGCGTTCCAGAAAAGTTTTATGCAGAAAAGTTTTATGCAATTCAGAAATTTTAGTTACACATCATAAGTTTGTATTGTAAGCATCCAAAACATCACAGACGACTATTAGCCACCTTATCTTGGGTCAGAGCAAATGTATGTGCAGAAAAGGTAAACAGAGGTCTGCCGAAAGGTTCTGAAAGAACAAATTAAATAAAATTTTGATCTAGGGAAGCAAAGACTTCAGTCAGTTCTTCCCCAGATGAAAAATGCCTAGCCTTGTTAAATATCAAAATGCAAGCAGGAAACAGAATAATCTGTTAAAGAAAACTAATAAACCTAAAAATACTTCCTCGCTGTACATAGTAGCAAAAAATACACACCAGTTGCTTTAACATGAGAACTTTGATCAGCAGGCAACATTCTCTGTGGTGGCAATGGACCCATACGGTGAGTCCAACGATTGAATGAGAATCTGAACCAAATTTCAGGCTTCCCATTCAAGACTGTGTTGGTAGGATTATAGAAAACAGTTGCAGCATTCCCAGCTTGGACATCAAGAGGTTCAGTGTAGACAATATGCTTTTGAGATAAAAGAAATGTTTTCAAAGTTCTTTCCTTTGTTTCTGCTTTCATCCATGCTGTCTTCTCAGCCTACAGATGGCAGATCACGAGAGATTAAGATTTAGATATATCAACAGAAATTTTTCCCATAAAGAAAAATTGAATTGGACTGATTTTTTTTTTTTTTTTTTTTGGGGTGGGGGGTTGGAAGGGCACAGGCAGCAGTTAGAAAAGAATTTCTCTACTCCATCAATTTTGCATCATAAAGAATTGAAATCAAGGTGCCATTTTGACAACATCTTTTGAATATATTTTTCAAAACATCAACCTTAGCACGGATGGCCTCCTCTCTGATCCGTCTCTCCTCTTGGAGATTTTGGTATATCTGATGCTCTTCTTCAACCCAATAGTGATCCTCAGGAACACGCCGTGGAACAATAGCACGGAAATCCTGCCTATCATTGTTATCGTAAACCCTTGCTTGGTGAGGTGGACCATCAGCAAAAACCCAGTCCAAGACAAGGGCACGATTAGGCACAACAACTGTAAACAAAATAAAAATAGATCAGATAAAATTGCAACATCAATGGAAAAAGAAAGCTGAAGAAGAAGTGCATGAAGTTTTCAGAGATACAAACATCTGTTGCAAATAATATATTATGTCTCTGCAAGTAAAAAAATGGTTCAAGTAATTATTAAAAAAAAATTTTAAGTGTTTATCATAAACGCAAAAATTCAGTAAAAGATGCACAAAGAAATCTCCAACAAATAGTGCACAACTGTAGATCTCCGAATAGGAAGAATTTCAGAGATTCATGATAAATTAAGAATCTGCATGAACTCTGATAAACAGGTTCATATTATCACTTCAGGAAATGAGATTCTCTCAAAGAAATCAATACTGATGGAATCCAATTTTATCCTTCAAAAGACTAGCTCTACCCAGTCTAAGTACCGATTCCCCAAATCCTAACAAACTAGAAATCAGATGAAGCACTTCTTATGTAAGGTAAACATTTTACTTGACAAAAAGAATCTTCATATCATACTCTATCATGAATACCAACATGCATCATTGATCATTCAAATCACATAGGATATCATACTTACTTTCAGCATACCACCAATCTCCACTTTTCCTCTCAGATCTGGCAAGCTTTGTTGAGATGGACAGCCCATCCTTCCACTTATTGTGACCTCCATGCAGCCATAACTCCTCAGCCTGAATCAATGGACCTGAGCTCTTTTTATAGAACAACCTGACCTTGTCCCCACCTTTAAAATCGCTAGGTTCTATGTGCCAGACATCATCAACAGACTTCGCAGCCTTTTTTATCCACTCTTTCAACATTTCCTGTCTCCTTGCAGCCTCCTCTCTTGCCTGTGCTCTATCAGCCTCACGTGCAGCTTTCTCTGCTTCTATGCGCTTCTGTTCTTCTTCATGTCTTTTCCTTTCAGCTTCCTCCTTCGCAAGTTTCTCCAACTCCTTGCGTTTCTCCTCAAGCAAGAAATCTTCAAACTCAGGAACAGTCATACCACCTTCAACAGTAATGCAGAAATCTTTTTTGTCATTATTATCATAGACATCTTTTCCATTGTAGAACACAAAATCTATCTTGTATGCTTCCTTAGGAACATGGACCTGGCAAGCCCACCAATCACCATTGAGACTTGTCTTATCCAACTTCGTAGTAAAAGACTTCCATCGCCAGTCATTAAAGGCTCCCATTATCAGTACGTCAGGTTCATTACTCAATGTGGATAGACTTCTATTGAGGAACACTTCTATATCTTGATCAGGTTTTACCAATTCAGGATAACAGAATAATCTGTTTCCTTTCTCAAAATTTTCTTCAGCAAGCCTTTCCAATGCATGTTTGCGTAAATTTGCTTCCATTTCCATCCTTAACCTTAGAGAAGAATCATCCTTCTCCTTTTGCTCTGGTTTCAAGAATTCATCTTCACTCATATATTTGACAATTTGAGTACTCCCGATCTGGTTTACATCATTTTTCTTAATTGTGTCTTGCTGTTTTGGGTCATCAATTTCGACGGGCTTATTACTTGCGATAACATCAAATGGCTGATCTTCTAAAGCAATTCCACTCAAATGACCGTCAACTTCATTTTCCTTTGCAACTCCTCTTACTTCATTTGTCTCAGTGAGGTCCTTATTACCAGATCTAATTCTTCCATTTTCTGTCAACTTGCTCATTTCAGCATCAAGTGGTGGTTTCCGGCTTGGCCAGTCCTCTTCAACAACATTGTCAATTTCATTTTCATAATCTTCCTCCTTTGCTTGTTCAATGTCATCATCCTGTTCTTCACTGGTTTGTTTGAGTTCAATTCTATTTTTGTTTGCAGTCCCAAGATCCTTGGGTGGCAAGTTACTCTGACTTTCTTTCTGCCCATTGTTTTTCTGATCTCTTCTCTGGCTGCTTGTCCCTGGCTGTGTTTTTGGCACAAACCCTTTTGGTGTAGAGTCTTGAGTTCTAGGAGTTGGTGTTCTTCTTTGTCTTCTTCTAGAAAAATCTACACAATACAACATTCAAGTAAATATTAAGAAAATTAGAGAAATAGCTCAAGTCCAAGACGTTCAATGGAAACTTAAAAATGAAAGCAACCAACCTGCACTTGCAGTGATTCGATGCGAAATGTGAGCTACCCCATAGTCCTTGCTCCATAAAGAAGACTATAACAAATGCATCAGATAGGATAAAATATATCAACGCAGCAAGTCCACTATAATCCACAATGTACACAAAAAGCTACCAGAATTTGACAGAAATAATGAAACTGCTATTGATGTAGCATTGAACAAAGTCTTATAAGTATTAACAGACAACTGGTTCTGCCTCAAAGGGCACACAACCAAATAGAACGAACTGACCAGAAACATATGCCTACCAAGAAACAATACAAAGACAAACCCTTTTAACAGTTTGTGAGACAGCTTATATGCATACAAAAAATGTTAATGAAAAGTGGCCACTAAACTACGCCTAGAAAAGAGTAAGCTTTAGCTCAAGTGGTAAAGCCACCCCTCCGCAGGCCATCTCCCACAGCTAGAATGTCATCACGATCAGCGGCAATGTACTCAGTTTGTGTTTGTGTGTGTGTGAAAGAGAGAAAGAGAGAGGAGGAAGGGGAAGGGGGAGGAGGCGAACACACTAGCCTTAAAGAGACATCAATCGGTTCTAATTCCCATCAAGACTGATTATAAATTCAGAAAAAAAAAAGTGCAATCCAATCAATAATCACTACCTTATACAAAAGGGTTCTACTGAAGATATCATTTTGAGCCTCTGATTGATACAGGACAAGCTCTATCTCTGCTTACGCATAAAAGCAACGAGTAACCAAATATCAAGACATGCACACACACAAGCACTTATTAAATGCTAATATGAACCCCTAGCATCACTACCATAGTTAACAGGGGAAATTTGCTCACGATAGTAGCATTGTAAGAAAATAAAACAGTGAGTGAGAAGCAAACTTTTACTTGGGAAGACAACAAGCTTGTGGTTCTATGAGGCAGGAATCCCAAAAAAGGCGTGATCTTGATGTGGGTTCTACCATTAACCACTGCTCTACAACTCAATGGTTTCTGCAGTGGCAAAGGGACCTCCATTGGTGATATCTTCAAGAATGTTTCATGAGGGTCTGTCTTCTTTCTTTAACCTCGGAATCGGTTAAAAACGTCCCCTTTTGATTCTCTACTTGATTGAATTGATATGGATATTGATAATCCCTTCTGTACTTAATCTCACTTTTTCTCTCTCTGTATCTGTAGTAATCAATAATAGTACAAGTATGTGCTTACTATTATTAAACAAATCGAAAAAAAAATATCTGCACTAAAATCCAGATGAGGTGCTCAGCCTGCTTTGGTAATCAGCTTTTCTTACTAGTTAGTATTATTTCTTTCACGGATAACAGAACGGGAGAGTCCAAAAATTCTGAACCTTAGAAGCAAAATGTTCCTTTTTTTTTCTTTTCTTTTCTGTCATAATCAAATATTTAACGAAAAAAAAATGTAACGAAATTGCGTGAAATAATCCTACGGCTGAGAATGGTTATCTACTGGATTCAAGGGTGGTGATTTTTGGGTTCCATTACTAGTAAGTATTACATGCTCTTTTTTATATTTTTGGGTTTAAATTTCTGGAGATGGGAAGATGTAGCTAGAATGCGACATTCCGGGGTGATGCTGATCCGGTTGGGGCAGGGCAATCCAATCAAAACTGGAAATAATAGGGTGGGGTCAAGTGACACTTGGAGATAAAAAAGAGTTTGGTTTGTCTAAAGAAACGTACGAGGGTGGCTTTGATTGATTTATTTAGTATAATGATTCAATGGTGAACTGATAAGGCATATACTTTAATTGATCTTTGACTAGTTTGATCTGGGAGAGGCATAATTGTTAATCACTAATTGATCATCTACTTTCCAATATTGCCAAACTGTCCCCAAGAAATGACCCCCACCTAGAGGCACTGATGAGAGCGATGGCAAAGGAAAGGCAGGAGCAAAAGAGCACTCTTGAAACATCCAGAGTCAGTGAAGAAGCTGTTCAGGTACAAGATGAGGCTAGTTAGGGAGTGCTAGTTAGTGCTTAGTAGAGGCTCCCCTGTTCCCTCTTTCTATGTCCCACATCGTTTGTTGAGTGTGTACGTGAGTAGTACTTAAGTTCCATGGGTGCAACCAAAAGTCAGCCTTTTGATTGTATCTTGTGGGGTTAATTTAAGTGTCATTGATGAACTTCTTGTCAAAAAAAAAGGTACAAGATGAGGCAAAAATTAATCCGAAGATAGCTATCTATGAGGATAAGGATACCAAGCGGCGGGGAAGGGGCATGGGGGCAAAGAATCACATGGGACAAGTTAAGACAGCTTGGGCTATGAGCGACAGAGGCACAAGCATACCAATACTGGATTTAGCTGAAACAATAAGATTAGTTTTGATCAAGGCTAGAGAAAAGCATTGGACAGAATTTAAAGTCCATATCCCTCAGAAAGCAGCTTTTATCCTCGTTGATGTCCAAGAAAACCAAAGACAATCTATTGGCAAATCTGATGGATGATATCAACAATCTTAACTCTTTGTTTCAAAAATGCTCATTCTGTTTAGATGTAGCAAATGATAATATATGTAAATCTGTTAGTACTTATGTAGTAGGCATTTGCGGTAATGAGGAATGGAACAATCCTCAAGATATCTAACACTTTTATATAACCTGTTTGAGTCATTGCTCTACAAGTGTAAAATTTTTGGATTTATGAATACAATTCCTATCGTTTCAAGGAAAAAAAAAAAGTGCCACTACTGAGTGTGTGGTTTATGAATTTGATTTTGATGTCATTAGGTATACATCTTTGAATTCCATGCTATTAAAGCAATTTATTCATTTCTTCATCACTAGTAAGAAATCCCTTGAAAGAGAAAAACATTATTGAGTATTAACCTCCGAGAATTAACCTTGTCCACGATCTATATCTATTTGTGACGATTGAGTACATAAACTTCTAGGTTTTACCCAATTTCGTTCTTGACCGATATTGAGCTCACTCTTAACCTAAAGATGAATGATGTGTTGAATGTGCGAGACTATAATGCAAAGTAGGTTCTTTCTTCTAGAACTGAAATTTATGGACATAAAATTGTGTATTTGACATACCACTTGGGTCAAAGTGACATACAAAAGAAATTTAGAAAAAAAAATGCCATGCAAGGGATGCAAATACCCAAAATTTCAATAGTTTAAGAGTGCAAAAGTTGTGTTAAAACTCTGAGTACGACTCTTTTTTGATTAAACAAAAAATTCATTCCATGAGATGTGCATTAATAGCAGAAAGTACATTAAACATATTATAGATACAACTACTCTGAATAATCACTGGACTTAACAGATCTTAAAAATAATAAAAATTACACTGTAAAGCTGCAACAAATTATGAGCAGCTCTAAGTACAATTCTGAATTATGAGCAAAGAGGGTACAAATTTCTTTGAAATGTATTATCGTTTGTAAAGCTAAAGATTGCTTTTTTATTTCTTCTCTTCTTTAGATAGTAAAAGAAGTGCATAAGATGAAACAAAAATGAAAAAGTAAAAAAAATATGATAGATTAAGTCATGGGGATTGGGGAAACATAAAAAAGCCCCTTAAATCATCCATAAGAAATGAAATACAAAATTAGGACAGAAGTCAATAGATCAAAAGGAACCATCACTATTTTCTCCTTTCTTAGCCAAAATGTCCACATACTAGTTAGGTTTTCCAAGATTGTGCTTCAAACAAGCATGTTCAAATGTAATTTAACAGCTCATCGCATACGTGAAAAAGTTCATGAAAGGTCATTAAAATCTAAATTTGACTGTAAACATTTACTTCTTCTGATGATATAACATGCCTTGTCCAAAATGCTGAAATGTCACTAATGAACAACTCAGGTGGTGTTTGGTAAGAGAGTTTCGAAATGAAAAATTGGAATAAACTCCATAATTGTTGTTTGGATTACTATTATCAAAATTGAAATTTTGGAATCATATCTGAAAATTTGGAATTCCCTAATTCTCTAATAACCTGAAGGGTTTTGAACAAAACCTAAGTCTGATTTTTATTTAATTTATCAAAAACTAGGGATAGCAATTAAGGTGAATGGGGCCGAGGGAGGGGGAATTTTTTTTGCCCCATTTAGAATGGGACCCATCCCGTCACCGGTTAAAAAAATTAATATATAATTATATTTATATAAAATTATAATAATACATATATTATATTTATAATATATTATTATGTACACGTATATAATATATTATATAAATATATATTATAATTATTTAATTAAATATAATTATAATATATAATTATAATATATAATATATAATTATAATTATAATATATAATTATAATTAATTATAATTATAATTATTTAATTAAATATAATTATAATATATATTATATTATATAATAATATATTTATATTATTTATAAATACATATTTTATTTGCATATATATAATATTTATATGTATATAACAATATATTATAATTATAATTATATATATTTATATTATAATATTAGTATACTTATATTTAATTATATACATAATATTTAATTTAATTAGTTATAAACTTATAATAATGATATTATTAGTTATATGTATTATATAATGTATATTAGTATATGTAATATAATTGATATTATCAATCATACTAATAATTATACATGTTTACTAATAAAAATAATTAATTAGTTATACTAAATTTACTAATACATTTAATTAATAAAAATTTCTTATATCCCAGTTCGAAAGAGTCTATTCTAAACCCAGGATGAAGGATCCCAAATCCGAATCCGATTTCAATATGCGAACAAAATGCCACCTCAATTTGCCCCACCTATCTTAAAGTTTTCTAGTTGGATTACAGGCTTAAAAATTCATAACAATGAGTGATTAGCTACCTTTCTTTTTTCCTTTTTTCCTTTAGCATGCATTGAAAAGAGAAAAGTGCCCATTTGGATTATTGTTATTTTCTGATGTTTTTTTATAGAAAAATGTATTATAGCAATTTGATGTTTGTGAGATAAAAAAATGGTTAAAAAATAGGGCAAAAAATCGCGGTGGTCCTCTAACTTTCAACTTTGCGCACTTTTAGTCCTCTAACTAATAATTGCGCAAACGTAGTCCTCAAATTTAAAAAAGTGTATATTTCTAGTCCATCCGTCCAATTTCGTTGTTAAGATGGACAGAAGAGACATCACGGACTACTCTCATAACATTTGTTGGGGGCACTATGGTACAAAAAATAACAAAGTCCCTCGAAAACAACAAAGTCCCTCGAAAGCTTCAAAGTTCGGACTATTAGTGGAACTCCATTTTCCAGAGAAACCTAAATTACTCCTTGCAGTAACGAGATTTGCAACAGAGAAAAAGACAATCGGGTTTGAAGTCTGCCCAAAGGAATGGTGGAATGGAAAATCAGGAGAAGGGGCGTCTACTTCAACCCCTAGTTAGTATACGGTAAGTGCACTTAAACTGTACAAAGTTCTACAAAAATGGTACAACAATTGATGGTTATTTGTGTTACAGTGATGGGTAAGTGAATAGGAAATTTTATTTTGGTTGTGGGGTTGAATGTGAGGGTGTTTTGTCTCAAATATGGGAGGAAAGTGGTCTCATATTTGGGTTCACTGTCTCTGTCTATAAATAAGCACTAGTGGTCCTGAAGCATATTTTTTTAAACTACTTTGTCTTGTTGAGTTAGCCTAATTATTTAATTTCTATTGTTAATTAGTTTAGTATATATTATTTTAATTGTGCCTATTGACCTAGGTTTGGGATTATGGTCTTTTATACACAAAATTAATGAGTTAATTAACTAGTTACCAAATTAATGATTACTCGTAATTGTTAATATACATGCAGGATCTGAATGATTTACTATAAGAATGCATCACAGGGGAAATATTCGTTGGGAAAGTTACATAAGTTATGTTGGTGGTGATGTGGACGATGTAGACTTATGTGATTGTGAACGGATGTCAATTCATGAACTGAATCAAATGGTAGAAGAGTTAGGTCATATTCAGGAAACCATAATGTATTACTATTTTGAACCAACTAAAGATCTTAATAGTAGGTTAAGGGAATTGTGTACAGATGCTGATGTAAACAAATTTTGCAACTTGGCTTATGAACATAAAGTGATGGAGGTTTACTGTAACCACTTAACAATTGAAGAAATTGATCAAGTTTTGATGGAGGCTGCTGGTAGGGGTAATTCAGTAGAGCGGAAAAAATATGGTGTGGTAATCGAAGAACTAGATAATGAAGGTAAGGTGGTTACGGAACCATGTTTACAAATGGTACGTAGTGGAGTAGGGACATCACAGTCAACTTGACAAACTGTTGACAATAACACTGGGCAGACTTCAGCACAACCATTAAGGGACAATGGAGGTCATGTTGAAAATCCAAGGAATGAACAGAGCACTACACATGAGGGGTCTGGAACTACACATGAGGGCACTATACATGATGGTGAAGTTGCATCTGAATCAGATGCTGAAGTAGAGAGGTTTCCTTGGGATAATGATTATTGTGGAGATGAACAGCTTCTTTATAACCTCATTAGAGAAGGAGACCAGCAGCAATTGGATACAAGAGGTGAACAACAGCATGATACATCTGAGAGGTCTTCGCAGGCTAGAAACAAGCATCAGCAGTCTAAAAACCAAGTAGGAGCTGAGCAACAACCCCAACAGCCCTCTATTCAGCAGATAACCAACAATCAGCAACCACAGCAGCCAAAAAAGGGGAAGAAACAAGTGAGGAGAAGAAGAGAGAAACCTGTAGATGAAGGTCCTGAGAGGCAGACAAATGCATTGGATGAAGATTATGTACCAGATCACTTAAGCAGTGATTATAATTCATCAGACGAAGATGAGAACCAGTTTGAAGGCAGATACAAGAGATTTGTATGGGATAAATCCATGATAGACCCCAAGTTTGAATTGGAGATGAAATTTGAGTCAAGGCCACAATTCAAGGCAGTAGTGACCGACTATGGTATCAAGACAGGTAAACCAGTCTGGACATGTAAAAATGATACCAAAAGGGTGAGAACTGTTTGTAGAGACTCGTGTCCTTGGTTTGTTTTTGCATCAATTGAGAGGGCCCTTGGTACATCAGATTTGGTGGTAAAGACAATGCATGATGTGCATGAGAATTGCAATCACACTTGGAAGAATAAAAACATGACTTCTACGTGTGTGACAACTCGTAAAATTTCTTATATTTTTCTTAAAAATTTTCTTTTATTTGGAAATTATTACTTTATAATGGCCCTACTACCCAATCACCCCACAATAAGTGTAAATGAACATAGAATTAAGGATTTTTCCTTTCGTTTTCAAGTTATCGAAAATTAGTGTTTTTACGCCTATCCGTAGTGTGACTATCCGGTACAGAGGGTGGATCAAATTTGGTGATTAAGAGTGAGTTTTAGTGATATTAAATGTGTGATTAGAAGTGATAATAATAAGTTAGTGAATTATAAGTTAAAATCCTAGTATACGCGATTTAAGAAAAATCGGCTCGAACCGACGGGTATCGTTTGCTACCGATTGAACCCACCATTTGACCACCATTTTTATCAAGTTAATCTCAT